GCCTGTAGTACCAACTACTCGGGAGCCTGAGACAGGAGGATCACTTGAGCCCGGAAGATCAAAGCTGCAGTGAGCTATGATTGCACCACTGCACTTCAGCCTGGGTGAAAGAGCAAGACCCTGCTCAAAAACACCAAAACATAAACAAACAAACAACAACCAGAAAACAGGGGAGGAGATAAAATTACTGTCTTCATGGAAGTTTTATAATTTGATCATAAGAGAAACTAGTTAGGATGGACAGGAATTTCTGTTTTGTTCACTCGTTGATATATCCCAAGTGTCTAGAACAATGTTTGGAACATATGAACTTAACAAACCTGCTGAATAAACTTCCATTCCTGTAGAAAAAAGCCAGATTGTTTTCAGTGAGGAAAGAGTTAAAGAATCAAATGCAGAATGCATAGACCACTGGAAAGTATCAGCTATAGAAAGGCAGGAGTGGGTGGGCGCAGTGGCTCATGCCTGTAATCCCAATACTTTGGGAGGTCAAGCAGGGTGGATTACTTGAGGCCAGGAGTTCAGCACCACCGGCCAACATGGCAAAAACCCGTCTGTACTAAAAATACAAAAATTAGCCAGGCATGGTGGTGTGTGACTGCAGTACCAGTTACTCGGGAGGCTGAGGCACAACAATCACTTAAACCCAGGAGGTGGAGGTTGCAATGAGCAGAGACTGTGCCTCTGCACTCCAGCTCGGGCGACAGAGCGAGACTCCATCTCAAAAAAGTCAGGAAGAGACTGATTTGTGTAATAATAAAACTCCAGTGTCTTCTACAGGCAGCTCTGCATGGGAAAAAGAAAGAAAAAAAGAGAGGGGGAGAGAGCGAGAAAGAGGGAGACAGAGAGAGAAAGAGGGAGAGAAAGAGAAAGGAAGGAAGGAGGGAAGGAGGGAGGGAAGGAGGGAAGGAGGGAAGGAAAGAAGGAAGGAAGAAGGAAGGAAGGGAGGGAGTGAAGGAAGAGAAAGAGAAAGAAAAAAATAAAGAGAGAGAGAGAAAGAGAAAAGGGAAGAACAGAAAAGGTCAGCAGGGTACATTTGTGTAGTGTCCGGGGGAAAAAAAGAAGAGGGAACATTCACCAAATACCTATAAAGCAATGTCTCTGAATCTTCTTTTTTTGGCAACCTCTGCTGCCCAGGTTCAAGTGATTCTCCTGCCTCAGCCCCCTGAGTAGCTGGGATTAGAGGCGCCTGCCACTGCACCTGATTAATTTTTGTAGTTTTAGTAGAGATGAGGTTTCACCATTTTGGCCAGAGCTGGTCTTGAACTCCTGATCTCATAATCCACCTGCCTCGGCTTCCCAAAGTGCTAGGAATATATGCGTGAGCCACTGCACCTAGCCGCTGTTGAGTCTTTTATGTGCAGCTACATAATCTGATTCAATAGGCCTAAGGGATGGGGCCTGAGATTCTATACTTTTTTTTTTTTTTGAGATGTAGTCTCGCTCTGTTACCCAGGCTGGAGTGCAGTGGCGTGATCTCGGCTCACTGCGACCTCTGCCTACCGGGTTCAAGCAATTCTCCTGCCTCAGCCCTGAGTAGCTGGGATTACACGTGCGCGCCACCACACCCAGCTAATTTTTGTATTTTTAGTACAGACGGAGTTTCACCATGTTGCTCAGGCTGGTCTCAAACTCCCGACCTCGGGTGATTCGCCCGCCTCAGCCTCCCAAAGTGCTGGCATTATAGGTGTGAGCCACCATGCCCAGCAGAGATTTTACACTTCTGACAAGTGACCAGATGAAGCCAATTCTGCTGGCCTTCTGAACAATGCTACCGTGAGCAATGCTACTCAAGAGCATCTCCTTTGTGTATAACATATATAAGATTTATGAAATAATGCTTCCTTATTGTTTTATTATGTTTATTACATTCTGATTGCCAAATTCAATGGATGATGCTCCAGTCCAGCTCTTATTTATTTATTTATTTGAGATGGAGTCTTGCTCTTCGCCAAGCTGGAGTGCCATGGCGCAATCTTGGCTCACTGCAACTTCTGCCTCCCAGATTCAAGCTATTCTCTTGCCTCAGCCTCCCAAGTAACTGGAACTACAGGTATGCGCCACCACACCCAGCTAATTTTTGTATTTTTAGTAGAGACGGGGTTTCACCATGTTGGCCAGGATGGTCTTGATCTCTTGACCTCATGATTCACCCGCCTCGGCCTCCCAAAGTTCTAGGATTACAGGCGTGAGCCACTGCGCCCGACCCAGTCCAGCTCTTATTGGACCATTCATTTCTTAAAATTCTGTTTTGGCTCCAGGGACATTGCTCCAAATGGTTATCTTTCTATCTCTTCATCTATTCCCTCTCATGCTTGTTTCTTGGCCCTACTTTCTCTTTCTATCCTTTAAACATTTGTTTCTCAGGCTTGTCTTCAGCCTTTTCTTCTAATAATTTGTTTGAGAGAGTTTGCTCTGTCACCCAGGCTGCAGTATGCTGGCTCATTCACAGCTCACTGCAGCCTCGGCTTCCCAGGCTCAAGCCATCCTCTCACCTCAGCCTCTTGAGTACCTGGGACCACAGACACATGCCACCACCACACCTGGCTAATTCTTTTTTTTTTGGTGGAAATGGGATCTCACTATGTTGCCCAGGCTAGTCTTGAACTCCTGGGCTCAAGCAATCCTCCTGCCTCAGCCTCCGAAGTAGCTCGAATCACAGGCATGAGCCACCAACCACATCCAGCCTTTAAAAAAATTGTTTTGTAGAGACAGGTCTCACTATGTTGCCCAGGGTGGTCTTGAACACCTGGCCTTAAGTGATCCTCCTACCTTAGCCTTCCAAAGGGTTAGGATTACAGGTGTGAGCCACCACATCTGGCCCTAATAATATTAAATGTTATCTTTGACTATTGTTACCTCTATTTGATTCCTTTGGGATTTCTAGGTATAAAATCATGACTAAAAATTGTATTTTTAGTTCTTCCTAAATATTTATGCCATATTAGTTTATGCCATATTTAGTTCTTTCCAAATATTTATGTCAAATATTTATGCCATATTTCTTGTGATAATCAGGATTTCTAATCAATGTTACATATTGCAGTTTATTTTTAAAACATTTTTGTTTTCTTCCTCATTTTATGGGGAATGAAATGATTTTCCTTGAAATGTTAATATTGATTCTCGGTTTTAGATAATCTTTACTTCATTTTAAAAATTCAGATATAATTCATATAAAATTCACCATTTTGTGTGTGTGTGTGTGTGTGTGTGTGTGTGTGTGTGTGTGTGTGTTTTGAAACAGGTTCTCACTGTTGTCACCCAGGCTGGAATGCAGTGGTACAATCTTGGCTCACTTCAACTTTCACCTCCTGGGCTCAGCCTCCCAAGTAACTGGGACTTCTGGTGTCCACCACACCAGGCTACTTTTTGCTTTTTTTTTTTTTTTTTTGGTAGAGATGGGGTTTTACCATGTTGCCCAGACTGGTCTCAAAATCCTGAGCTCCAGTGATCCACCCACCTCAGCCTCCCAAAGCGCTGGGATTGCAGATGTGAACCACCATACATAGGCAAATTCACAATTTTAATGTGTACAATTCAGTGTTATCTTTTATTTTACTTAATTTTTGAAACAGAGTTTTGCTCTTGTTGCCCTGGCTGGAGTGCAATGGCGTAGTCTCAGCTCACTGCAACCTCTGCCTCCCAGGTTCAAGCAATTCTCCCCCCTCAGTCTCCTGAGTAGCTCGGATTACAGGCACCCGCCACCATGCCTGGCTAATTTTTGTATTTTTAGTAGAGACAGGGTTTCATCATGTTGGCCAGGCTGGTCTCGAACTCCTGATGTCAGGTGATCTGCCTGCCTCGGCCTCCCATAGTGCTGGGGTTACAGGTGTCAGCCACTGTGCCTGGCCCAATTCAGTGTTTTTAAATATATTATGTTGTTCCTGTAATCCCAGCACTTTGGGAGGCCGAGGCAGGTGGATCATGAGGTCAAGACATCAAGACCAACCTGGCCAACATGGTGAAACCCTGTCTCTTCTAAAAATACAAAAATTAGCTGGACATGGTGGCATGTGCCTGTAGTCCCAGCTACTCGGGAGGCTGAGGCAGGAGAATTGCTTGAACTCGGGAGGTGGATGTTGTAGTGAGCGGAGATCCCATCACTGCACTCCAGCCTGGCGCCTGGTGACAGAGCGAGACTCTTTCTCTGTATTATGTTGTTGAACTATCAAGACTATCTAATTCCAGAACATTTCTATCACCTGTCAGTCAGAGAGCCTATACCTATCATCTGTCAGTCTCAATTCCTCCTTCCCCAACCCCTCAAAAACCACTAATCTACTTTCTCTCTTCATTGATTTGTCTGTTCGGGGCTCCAGGCGCAGTGGCTCACACCTGTAATCCCAGAACTTTGGGAGGCCAAGGCAGGCGGATCATGAGGTCAGGAGATCGAGACCATCCTGGCTAACACAGTGAAACCCCATCTCTACAAAAAATACAAAAATTAGCTGGGCGTGGTGGCACACACCTGTAGTCCCAGCTACTTGCGAGGCTGAGGCAGAATTGCTTGAATCTGGGAGGTGGAGGCTGCAGTGAGCCAAGATTGCACCAATGCACTCCAGCCTGGGCAACAGAGCGAGACTCCATCTCAAAAAAAGAAAAAAAAAAAAAAGATTTGTCTATTCTGGGCATTTAATTCATTTGCCTTTTCCCCATCTTGGCCTTTTTGCCCAATGTACTCTTAGATCAGGACTTTATAATTACCTCCTTATTGTCTTTTCATCCTTTCCCTATTTAGGCAGCAGCCCTTACTTAAGGTTGGGTGTTACTGACCTTACCTCCAGTCAGGAGAAAGCCTTAATTAGTGATTCCATCACATCCACCTCACCTCTACAATTAGTTCACACGTAAGCATATGACCTAACTTCTTGATCCAATCAGAGTGGTGCTCAGGATGTGTTTGTAGAGGAATGGAGGTTGACTTACATACAGTTAATGCCCAGATTTTAAGTGCACAGTTTGTTGAATTTTTACATTTATATATACCTGTGTAACCACCATCTGAACAGGCATTTATATTTTGAAATCTCTATTTCCAACAATTCCCTTCGTTATCTTTGCTGGGCCCAAGGATATTGAAGCCATCCATCGCTTTATTTGTCTTCCAAGTTCATCAGTGCCTGTACTGCAAGGAAACAGACTGTGAGGCTTGAGAGCTAAGAATATTCAAAATATATAAATTTATATAAATGTTTGGTGAAGACCTTGCTTTTCTGGGTTCCCACACAAGTCTTTACTTATCTCTAAATTAAGCCATATGCTTCTGTGTACTCTTTGCCATAGACAAGTTTATCAGGATTAAAGAAACTACCTTGCTACATTTTCCTCCTTTTCACCCTGTCCTCCCCAGAGAGTAAGCAGGAAGCCAGGGCTAAGAATGACTAGGAGGAACAGGATTAAATTTAGGCAATATTTTGAAGTAAGCAAAGCCGGTCTTTCACATCTACCTCTAAATTCTGTGTTCCAATGTTGTTATAAATTCCTCTTATTGCCCACCTGGGCCCACCACACACAAACACACAGTCCTCCTCCCTAATTTCTTATTTTCACATTGAGTTGATTTCAACTAGGTATGAGGGTGAAAACCCAGATAACACATTTTAAATTGTAAAAATCTGCCCCTAACTCTTCTGTGTTTTTTTGTTTTTTTGTTTTTTTTTTACTTTTAGAGAAAAATTTTATTAATCAAAATTAGTCATGGAGTGGTGAAATTTAGGAAAAATAACTGAATAGTTATCAGTTTACATCAAACTCTACTATTTAAATCACATACTTCTCTCTATAGAGGCTGACATTAGAAGGGGAAGATTCAAACAGAAGTTTATAATTCATAAACCTCTTTAGGGAGTTAGGACAGTGAGCACTTGAGGACCTCCTGCTCACTGTCTGATCCCCCATAGCTCTCCAGCTTGAGCCTTAGGCCCTGCAGCTCAAGTCTGAAATGCAATCTTCAGAGAGAACAAACGTGCAGAAACTGGTGGGCTGCCCAAATCAAGCAAGAGCCTACCTTGTCCTAATTCCCAACAACTGGGATTAGACATTCTCTTCTGGGGAAATAAGCTCTCATACCTCATAGGATTTGGGCATCCCCTGCTATAAAAGCAGTTTCTAGGTTCTCTCTCTGTTAGAGAAAAGTGGGACACATTCCCAGAATGTGACATACCAAATCAAGAATTTGCCCATTTTAGGTGTAGGCAGAAATTGAAAAACTGAGATGCCAGAATAGTGGACACCCTCCTCCTTCTCCACAGTTATATATGCTATATACATTCCCATGGTCCCCATGACTGCCCCAACTCCATACCTGCAAAGTCTTGTAACTTCTTACGCTCCTCTAGGTTATACTGAAGCTTTTCTAGCAACTCAAAATATCGGAAGAGTGAGTCTCTGGGCCAAACACGGTCATCCTGATCCATTTCCATTAGCCCGGGCAGATTCTCGTGCACAAGAGTCTCCCAGTCCAAATGACCTGTAGGGGGGAATGCTTCAGAAAAGCATGTCTAGATTTGTAAAAGTTGGGTAAGAGCTGATAAATCCTACGGTGTGGGTGGAAAGGTGGGGTGAAAAGAGGTAACAGGAAACAAGGAGGGAAAGAGTGCATTAGCAAGAAACCACTTTTTACAATGAGCAAAGAGGGCCACAGCCACACTTACCCAAAGTGAAGAAGAAGTACATGGGAAATTAAGAAGCACAAAGAAAGTAATTAATACCAGAAAATTGGAAAGCAGACATAGTAGCAGAGCTCCACTTAAGGCTAAAATGTCTTATAAAGGAGTCTGAATTCAAATGGGAAAAACTCATTATTCTGTGTACTCTTGGCCATTATTAGAGCTCTTCTACTCACCAACAGATTCAGAAAATCTGGATTCAGAAGAGGAAGCATCGGAGGAGGATGTGGAGGAAACACTGGAGGAAGACTGATACTCTTTCTTATTTGACAAGGTCTCTTCGGGTTTTGATGCAGATGTTATTACATCCGCTTCAGTGGTCTCATAAATAGACTCTACTTCAGAAACTTCTGATAAGTCCAAACTTTCCTTTTGTTGAATAGCTCCTCTTGAACTGAAAGGAGAAATGTATGGATTCACAAACATTTACAAGATATGACTAGTCCATTCATTATTCTAGTTCTGGCCCTGGCCACCCCCTAAAGCTGGGGCGTAAGACAATGAGGGCCAAACTACTCCCAAACTCTAAACTCAGGCACTTCCAACATCAATCATTCACGTGTCATCCTTAACTCTTCACTTCCCTCCCATATCCAGTCCATCAAGAAATCCTGCTGACTCTACCTTCAAAATATATCTTTTCTCACTAACTCACTGGTACCACTCTGGTCTAAGCTGTCATCATTTCGTGCCTGGGCAGCAGCATAGTCTCCCAGCTGATCTCTCTGCTCCTTCCCTTGTTCTTCTATCAACACAGCAACCACAGTAATCCATCTTAAATGTAAGTTACTTCACTCCTCTATTCTGCTTCCCATTTCAAAGTCCCTACAATGGCACCCATAACTCTACAGGATCAGGTCACCATTATCTTTCTGACTTCATTTCCCAGCACTCTTCCCCCTGCTCACTCTACTACAGTCACAATGGCCTCCTTGCTGTTTCTCAAACACCAAGCATGCTTCCAGCTTAGGACCTTTGCATTAGCTGTTTCCTCTGCCTATAACACTCTTCTTACAGATATCCACATGGTAATCCCCTTACCTCCTTCAAGCCTTTTCTCACATTACCTTTTCAATGAGGTCACCCTGATTGCCCTGTTTAAAACTACAACCCATCTGTGATCCCACCTTCTACCCTCAATCCCTCTTTGCCTGTTCTACTTTTAATTTTCCCATAATGCTTATCATATTTTAACATATTAATTTACTTAATATGTTCATTGGTTATTAATCTCTTTACCACTACTAATATGTAAGCTCCATGAAGCAGGCATTATTGTCTATTTTGTTCACTGATATAGCTCAAGCACCTACTAAGTATTCAATAATTATATGTTCTGTATTTTTTTTTGTGTTTTTTGGGGGGCAAGGTCTTGCTCTGTCACCCAGGCTACAGAGCAGTGGCACAGTGATGGCTCACCACAGCCTCAACCTCCCAGGCTCAAGCGATCCTCCACCTCAGCCTCCTAAGTAGCTGGGACCACAGGTGCACACCACTACATCCAGCTAATTTTTGTTTGGAGACAGGATTTTGCCATATTGCGTAGGTTAGTCTTGAACTCCTGAGCTCCAGTGATCTGCCCACCTCAGCCTTCCAAAATGCTGGTATTATAGGCATTAGCCATCGAGTCTGCCTTGCTAAAATTTTTTTTGAGATAGGGTCTTGCTCTGTTGTTCAGGCTGGAGTACAGTGGTGTAATCATGTCTCACTGCAGCCTTGAACTTCTGGCTTGAACTTCAAGCAGTCCTTTTGCCTTGGCCTCTCAAAGTGTTAGGATTAAAAGTATAAGCCATTACATCTGGCCAATAATTATTTGTTAATGAGTGAATGAGTTTATTTCTGTTTCTGCATTTTTTTTCCATTGCTAAACACTTGGGGTCTAGAATTGCATATGTTTCATTGAAGGTACTTGTATTAGTGTCCTGTAGCTGCCATAACAAATTACTATAAACTTAGTAGCTTAAAACGACAGTAATGTATTCCCTCACAATTCTAGAGGCTAGAGTCTGAAATGAAGGTGTTGGCAGGGCCATACTCCCTCTGGAGGCTCTGGGGAAGTTCCTTGCCTCTTCTACCTTCCGGCAGCTGCCTGGCATTCCTCAGCTTCCCATGGCTTGTGGTGGCATTAGCCCCAACCTCTATATCCATCTTCACATTGCCTTTTCCTATTCTTTGTGACTTCTCATCTTCCATCTCTTATAAATACTTTTGTTATTGGATTTAAGACCTACCTGGATAGTTTAGAATGATTTCATCTCAAGATCCTTAACTTAGGATCTTTTTTTTCCAAATAAGGTCACATTCACAGGTTCCAGGGATGTAGGACACGGACACATTATTTTGGGTGCCACTAGTCAACCTACTACTATATGCAGTTATTGAATGAATGCTCTCTCAAAGCCAATCTTCATCTTTAGTTTTCTACCCTCTCCTCCTTCATGTGTTTCTATCCCAGTTCACATATATATTCCTAACCTGTCATCTGTTTTACCATGAGTTGACCTCAGTGCCTCACGTGACACGTTTTTTCTCCTGCAAAGCAAAAAAAATCAAGAGAGTGAAGATGGTTATATTCAAGCAGAAGTATGGTAAGAAAAAAAAAAAAGAATATCAGAAAGTGAAGAAAACTAAACGGGGAGAACAAATTGTAGTCAAGGGGTGAAAAATAATGGAGGATTCCCCACAGTGGATGAAGAATCAGGCAATATTCTAGAGCTAGAGAATTCTTATCCCTGGGGGCAAATCTTCTGTCACAAAGGGAAAACTGGGGTCAAGGAGTAGAAACAAAAAATGAACTCAGGAAACCCTTGAGAAGAAACACTGGAGTTAAAAATGGAGAAGCAGACCTCTGGATAATCTGCCGCTTGAACATGTCAGCTTTGACCTGAACCTCCCGATGCGCCATCTCCTCATTCAGCTCTTTCCTGATATTCTGAAAGTTGGTAACTGCCGCAAAGGACCATTACAAGTTGGAAGATGGTAATGACTAGACCTGGGAAGAAGGCTTGGGTGGGGAGAATCCAAGTGAAATATCTAATCCAGAACCCAAGCCTTCCTGCTACAGTAGGTTCTTTCAACCCATAAACCACCAATCCCAGCTTTCAGATTAATTTCTTCCCAACCACCCTTCCCAACAAGTTTCACCTCCTCTATGCTTACCCATCATGGCTACTATGATATTTCGAAAGATAATGGAGCCAAGCAACAACCAAAGGATGACATAGATGCTGCTGAAGATGCGACTGGCTTCAGGCACCTTCCAGATATCCTGAAGCAGTGCATACCAGTGATCCAAGGTGAAGAGAATGAACACTGTCACTAGGGAATTCAGGAGGTCCCTAAAGAAGAAGGCATGTGAATAGACAGAAGCAGAGATTTAAACCTTTCAAAAATGGTACCTGTTTTTTTTTTTTTTTTTTTGGAGACAGTTTTGGTCTCGTTGCCCAGGCTGGAGTCCAATGGCGCAGTCTTGGCTCACTGCAACCTCCGACTCCTGGACTCAAGAGATTCTCCTGCCTTAGCCTCCAGAGTAGCTGGGATTATAGGCACCTGCCGCCACACCTAGCTAATTTTTGTATTTTTAGTAGAGACAGGGTTTCACCAAGAAAAATAAAGCATTTCTTTGTAGTTTCTTCTGATTTTTGGCTCCTTTTCTACCATACTCAATTTTTAGCTAATCATTCTTCAGTTTGTAGTTGTTTTATTTATTTATTTATTTATTTTTGAGACAGAGTCTTGCTCTGTTGCTCAGCCTGGAGTGCAGTGGTGTGATTGACTCACTGCAATATTCGCCTCCTGGATTCAAGCAATTGTCCTGTCTCACCCTCCTAAGTAGCTGGGATTACAGGCATGAACCACCACGCCTGGCCAATTAGTAGAGATGGGGTTTCACCATCTTGGCCAGGCTGGTCTTGACCTCCTGACCCAAGATGATCCACTGGTCTCAGCCTCCCAAAGTGCTAGGATTACCGGCATAAGCCACTGGGCCCAGCCAAAATTCTCCTTTATCATGAATAATCTATGACTACCTCTCATTATTCCATTAGTCCTGGAGTATAATAAATACTCAATAAATAGGTACTGACTGAATTTTTAAAAAATGAATGAATCACCAACTAGACAGTTTTCTAATTTTTTTTTTTTGAGACAGTCTCACTCTATTGCCCAGGCTGAAGTGGCGCGATCTCAGCTCACTGCAACCTCCACCCACCAGGCTCAAGTCTCCCAAGTAGCTGGGATTATAGGCATGCACTACCATGCATGACTAAATTTTATATTTTTAGTAGAGATGGGGTTTCACCATTTGGTTAGGCTGGCCTTGAATTCCTGACCTCAAGGATCCGCCCGACTCAGTCTTCCAAAGTTCTGGGATTACAAGTGTGAGCCACTGCGCCCAGCTGTTTTTTCTAATTTTATTCTCCACTGCTCTGTGGACTCCACTTAATAGATCACTTGCAAATTTAGCAAAACTTAGCCAAATTAGCAAATTTAGCAAAATAGAAGATCAGTCACAAAATTATTCCTATGAGTTTGCTGGTACAAAATGATATGAAAGTAAATGGATATGTTACATAAACATATGTGATCCTAAATAATGAATATATATAAATTATAAAATAATTTTTAAAAATTACTAAAAAAGTAAAAAGTTCCCAGGAAGGTATCTAAATTTTCCTTCCTTTCTTTTTAGTCCCCCATCTACAATTTACTGAAAACATCAGAGCTTGTATAGGATAAATTCTAGGACTTTCCTAACTCAATACTCTTATAAAACTACCTGTTAGAGTCTAACAGAGTCCTGAGAGGTACTGACAAGATTGAATTCCAATTCATAAACAGGATTATCTATTTTAAATTCAAGTTGATTTTCTCCTAGAAAACATTGATCAGTCTTTTCTTTTTTTAATATAAAAAAATATATAATACTTCATAAATTTGTGTGTCATGCTTGCACAGGGGCCATGCTAATCTCCTCTGTAACATTCCAATTTTAGTACATATACCACTGAAGTGAGCACTGATTAGTGTTTTCTAGACAGTGATCAGGAATAGGCACGTGCGTAATATGTAGAGATTGCGATAAAACCAGTGATCATATTTGAGAATCATAGTAACATTCATTGATCACTTATAATGTGTTACATACTGTGCTAAATGCCTAAATGCATTACCACATTTATCCTCACACTCTTATGAAGTAGTACTGCTAATACTTCCTTTTTTTTGAGATGGAGTTTCCCTTTTTGTTGCCCAGGCTGGAGTGCAGTGGCGCAATCTCGGCTCGCTGCAACCTCTGCCTCCTGGGTTCAAGAGATTCTGTCTCAGCCTCCTGAATAGCTGGGATTACAGGCGTCCGCCACCATGTCCAGCTAATTTTTGTATACTTAGTAGACATGGGGTTTCACAGTGTTGGCCAGGCTGGTCTTGAACTCCTGACCTCAGGTGATCTGCCTGCCTTGGCCTCCAAAAGTGCTGGAATTACAGGCATGAGCCACCATGCCCGACCTATTCCCATTTTTCAAAAGAGATAACTGAGTCATAGTAACCAAGCTTAACCACTGGAGTGTACTGCCATTTAAAAATGGCTGATGACAGTGTGGTTTGAATTTGCAAAACCCAGAATAAACCTGGAATTAGCTACCCTACCGTCAAGATCAGAGTTAATACCACTCACTATTCTTTTGCTTTCTCTTTCCCTCTTCCTATTGTGTTCGATTTCAGTTTCTTAGAATACACTATACTTCTTACATACTATACTTTGGACAAGCTTCCTGGTTTCTTAGCCAAATTCACTCCCCTCACCCAGCCATCCCCCTGCTCTGCTTACGAGAAGAACACATGGTATTCCAGGTCCTGACGAGGTGAACGGGTGTACTCTACGAAGAAGTAGACACCAGCCACAGCAAAAATGTAGAAGAAGATGAGCAGCAGCATCAAGAGGAAGGTCATGCTCTAGAGGCCATGACCTCAAGTCAGAGGTGGGCCAGACTAGGCTGATCTCCACCAATAGCCCATTCAAGCCCACCTGGCAATCCCTCACCAAACCCTCACTTGCACTCCTGAACCCAGTCATATTTGAACCATGGCAGCTGGCCCTAGCTCCTTCTCATCCAATAACATTTCATAGGATGTTTCATTGCCTTATTTGACCCACCCAGATTTGTTTCATATTCTATGTTAAGCCCCCATATTTATCTACCTTGCCCCCTCCTTTAGTTTGCAACAGTCAAATCACCTTGAGGGCCCTGACCAGGGCCAAAATAATAACTCGAATTTGACGAAATCGTGCAAAGAGTTTGAGAGACCTCAGCACCCGGCAGATCCTCAGAAACTGAAGCCACACTGGTTGGCCTGTTACCCCTGCCAACAACACAACTTCAGGAAGCAGGGACTGTAGAAAACATACAGATTATGCGTAAAATATACCCCCAAGCACCCAGGCAAAGTTATACCTTCTTCATCTCATCCTCTTCATTGTTCCCTGGGCATTATCCCTTGAATAGCATTCTCTGATAATTTTTCCATTCAGCCTTTCTATTTAAGTTGCTTAAACACTGTACTTCAACTTGTTCAGATATGAGGGGGATAAAATTCATGGTTATTTAATTGGGTTGTTGCAGAGCATAAACAAGATAATGTAAGTAAAACACTTAAAATAGTGCCTGGCACTTAGTAAGTACAAGGTAACCCAGCAGATGTTATTTATTGTTGGCGCTGATGTGTGGTTAGACTATTTTGCTCCTAATATCAACAATTCCTGCAATGACTGATGTTTAGTTTTGGGGGAAAAAAATCAAAAGAAGGAAGTCAGGTAAATTTTTGTTTCTTCCTTTTATCATGTTAACTTTTCCTGTCCTTTCAGTTGACCTAGGCACCTTCTTCATCCCACTAACAAACCCTCAGGATCTCTACCCTTACCAACATGGTAACAACAAAGTCAAAGACATTCCAGGCGTTCTTCCAGAAACGGGAAAAGCTGGATAGCCACATAAGAATGATCTCCAGGATGAAAATAAACAAGATAAACCAAGCTGCCACCTCCAAGGCCAGCTTCAATGGCCACAGTTTTGTATTTGTGGATTCCAGCAATTCTGTGAGGATAGAGCAAAAGAGGAATAAAAGTTAAGGATGCTGGAAACTGAATGATGGAGAATGATCACTTATAAACCACAGTTTTGCCCACTGCTATTCCATTTTTCTCTTAACACTGTTGCTTCAACCTGTGAAATACTGGGAAGGACAGAATTGACCACAAAACAAAGCCACAGCTCATCATTGATATAGTTATGTCTACCCAGCCATAAGTCACTTCCTATCCACTCTGGGGGGTCACACAGCCATTAAAAGACTGCATTCTTTAATTACCTCTACCCCTAATCCCCTACACCGACCTACTGTACTGTTATCTCAGTCCCAAAGTTCACAAGAAAGCAATGGGTCTTGAGAACAGAATGAAAATACATGGCCATGATATCTAAAGTACTTTATAAAAAATGCAAAAACAAGAAGCCAGATTCGTTGGAGAATATCGAATTATAACAATAAATCACTTGGCTCTTTGTTAGCTTTCTTTTAAAACTTTTCCTTTATTCTTTGCCTAAAATTGGTTTTGTTCTGCAAAGCAAACTGAATGCATACTTCCTCTCTAGAACACTATTATTTACTAATTGCTATTCCTTAATTCATTGCCTTTCTCTTTCAACCTTCTTCTCTTTTGTACAATTAATGGACATATACCATGTTCTAGAAAAAAAAAACACTGAGATTAAAATAGATTTAAGAGCTAAATAGGAATCAACATTGTGGTACTCTGGCTTTAAAGTCATCCTGATGTTGAACTGGATCCAAACAAAAAGAACAGAGCCATACTTCAATCATTTCTAGAATTTTACAGAGGTTGATCCCTTCTAAAAACCAGTGGAGTCACACTATGCTTATTCCTATGCTTATTTTGAGACAGGGTATCACTCAGTCACCCAGGCTGGAGGAGTGCAGCGGCATAATCATAGTTCACTGAAGCCTTGATCTTCTGGGCTCAAGGGAACCTCCCCTATCAGTCTCTGGGTAACTGGGACCACAGGCACATGTCACCATGCCCAGCTAATTTTTTCTTCAAATTATTTGTCAAGATGGGGTCTCCCTATGCTGCCTAGGTTGGGCTCAAACTCCTGGGCTCAAGTGAGCCTCCCATCTTGGTCTCCCAAAGAGCTGGACTTACAGGTGTGAGCCACTGCACCAAGCCCTTCTATACTTATTTAGGATCTGTGCTTCTTCGGTTAGTTTGTCTTTCACACACGTTTCTCTAAGATGAACAATTTTTCACATTTTAACATCTATGAAATTAGAATGCATTTTATAATCAGTGATGTGTCCCAGTTTAATTGGGGATGTTTTATTTCTTAGTGGTAGAAGTGAATTTCACCTTGATGACAGCTTAGATTCAGTAAAATACAATTTTTTTTTCACTTAACAATAAATTTTGGCTCGCAGGAGCATGGGATTATATAATTAGAGCTGAGGACCATATTTGTGGCTGGAAAGTAGAATGCTATCATTCAGTTTTTGCCCTTGCAAAACACGAACCCAAAGAGAGCAATGAAGTAAAGTAAGGGTCTTGTAAAGCAGAACATAGTTTTAAGTAGTTTAAGTAGGGAAGTCCAAATTACAGAAGCAGTAGCATTTTTACTCTCTGAGAAAGAGGAATAATTTTATAAAAGCTAAACAAACCCAAAGAAGTTCAGAGGAACAAACAGCAGAAATTGCCTCAGCAGGACAGAAAGCATAAAAGTGACTGCCTCCACTCTATATCACATAATGTTTCCTATCTAAAGATGGAAATATAACTTCTTAAAATTCTTGGAATTTTTCAGCCTGCTATAACAAGACAAAAGAGTCTTAATGGAAATAGAGTCCAGGAGCCCAGTGAAGTCTACCCAGGAATCTAAGCCAGTGTAGTGAGTTAGCAGTGAAGATCTATGCTTGAATATTCTCTTGGGGTAAGAGACAGTAGCCATTTGATCAAACAAGTCAAGCAAATGTATAATTCTGTTTCACAAGGTAGACTTCACCATGAACAGTCATCTACTGCTACTCTCTATTCTAGAAAAACAACAGTAGGTCACCTCACAGAATACCAGATAAATTGACATTGGTTTCAAGGAGTCCAATATTATGGGTAAGGAGAATAGTAGACTGTAACAACAAACTGATATGTAGATTTTGACATTTACACATTTTTAGTAACGTTTTGGCTAGTTATATCCATCATGAAGTAAGGAACACTGATGCTGAAACACAATTTCTTTTTTTGAGATGGATTTTCACTCTCGCCCAGCTGCCATCTCGGCTCACTACAATCTCTGCCTCCTGGGTTCACGCGATTCTCCTGCCTCAGCCTCCCAAGAAGCTGGGACTATAGGTGCGCACCACCACACGCACTGATTCTTGTATTTTCAGTAGAGACCAGATTACACCATGCTGGCCAGACCAGGCTGGTCTTGAACTCCTGACCTGAGGTGATCCACCAGCCTAGACCTCCCAATTTGCTGGGATTACAGGTGTGAGCCACCACACCCAGCCAGAAATACAATTTCATAAAGAGCTTAAGAATGATAATTCTGCAAGTTTAATCTCAAGATGATCTTCATCAGGTTCTATAAATTCCATTCATTTGATCAAAAACTTTACATAGCACATCAAGTTATCTCTAGAACTTAAAAGTTAATGTAAAAAATTGTAATCTTCAGGAATACACCTGCCTTTGGGAAAAAATTATAATATTATACTTAGGTTTTATTTTTATTTTTGAGACACGGTCGTGCTCTGTCACTCATGCTGCAGTACACTGGCGCGATCATAGCTCACTGCAGCCTCAATCTCCTGGGTTCAAGTGATCCTCCCACCTTAGCCTCCTAATATACCTAGTTTTTAATTTTAAATAAGGATTGTCTACACTTGCAATGTGTTATTTTCTGAGAAAGGCTTGAAAATGAGTCAAATGTTTTTTCATTCTCATTATTTAGAAATAAAATATGCGGGGCACTGTGGCTCATGCCTGTAATCCCAGCACTCTGGAAAGCTGAGGCAGGCGGATCATGAGGTCAGGAGTTCGAGATCAGCCTGGCCAGCATGGTGAAACCCCATCTCTACTGAAAATACAAAAATTATCCAGGTATGGTGGCACCTACTTGTAGTCCCAGTTACTTGGGAGGCTGAGGCAGGAGAATCACTTGAACCTGGGAGGCAGAGGTTGCAGTGAGCTGAGATCCCACCGCTGCATTCCATCCTGGGCAAGAGAGTGAGAGTCCGTCTCAAAAAAAAAAAAGAAACAAACAAACAAACAAAATAGAGCTGGGCGTGGTGGCTCACGACTAATCCCAGCACTTTGGGAAGCCAAGGCGGGCAGATCACGAGGTCAGGAGATCAAGACCAGCCTGACCAACATGGTGAAACCCTGTCTCTACTAAATATACAAAAATTAGCTGGGCATGGTGGCACACACCTGTAATCCCAGCTACTCAGGAGGCTGAGGCAGGAGAATCCCTTGAACCTGAGAGGGAGGTTGCTGTGAGCCAAGATTGTGCCATTGCACTCCAGCCTGGGTGACAGAATGAGACTCTGTCTCAAAAAAAAAAGGAACAAAATATGATTTTTTTTTTTGAGATGGAGTTTTGCTCTTGTTGCCCACACTAGAATGCAATGCTGTGATCTCAACCCATCACAACCTTCACCTCCTAGGTTCAAGCAATTCTCCTGCCTCAGCCTCCCAAGTAGCTGAGATTACAGGCATGTGCCACCACGCCTGGCTAATTTTGTATTTTTAATAGAGATGGGGTTTCTCCATGTTGGTCAGACTGGTCTAGAACTCCCGACCTCATGCGATCCACCTGCCTTGGCCTCCCAAAATGTTGGGATTACAGGCATCAGCCACCACACCTGGCCCAAAATATGAGATTTTAAAAGTAAGCCAATTTATGTTTAAAGTGCAAAACAGAACTACCAATATCCAGCAGCGGAAGTATATATATATATACACACACACACACAAATATTTTTTTGAAATGAAGTCTTGCTCTTGTCGCCCAGGCTGGAGTGCAATGGCGCTATTTCGGCTCACTGCAACCTCCGCCTCCCAGGTTCCTGGGATTCTCCTGCCTCAGCCTCCTGAGTAGCTGGGATTACAGGCGCCTGCCTTTGGGACTCCAGCTAATTTTTGTATTTTTAGTAGAGATGAGGTTTCACCATGTTGGCCAGGCTGGTCTTGAACTCCTGACCTCACGCGATCCACCTGCCTCAGCCTCCCAAAGTGCTGGGATTACAAGGGTGAGCCACTGAACTTGACTGAAAGTAGATATTTTTAAAGCCCTAACATAGTTTAGATCACTTTGTGATCTGGAAAAAAAAAAAAAAGTTAAGCCTAAACGAAGTCTTAATGTTTATCGCATGAATAGTCTATTCAAAGAAATCTGTTTCTCACAAATAATTTCCTTTTGCAAAATCCCTCCTCCCTTTCTACCACAAGAATATGCTTAATAAGATAAAACGTCCAGGAGCTTGCCAAGTAGTTTCCAGTCTGGCAATCTACCTATCTTCTGGCACGGGGATCATGTTTCATATTCAGTTAACTGTTTTACCAAATAGAATGATTAGTGCTATCCTATTTTGATGTGTCTATTATATCTAGGGCAGGGTTCCCAAGCCCCAGGCCACAGACTGGTGCCAGTCCATGCTCTGTTAGGAACCCAGCCACACAGCAGGAAGTGAGTGGTGGGTGAGTATCACCCCCTGAGCTCCGCCTCCTGACAGATCAACCATGGCATTAGATTCTCATAGGAAGGAGAGCCCTATTGTGAACTGTACCTGTGTGCTCCTTAGGAGACTCTAATGCCTGATGATCTGAGGTGGAACAGTTTCATCTTGAAACCATCCCTCCTACTCCATCCGTGAAAAAATTGTCTTCCATGAAACCAGTCCCTGATGCCAAAAAGCCTGGGTATCACTGATCCAGGGAGTCCTGTATATATACTATTATTTACTTCATTCCAAGGCTTACTATAACCCTAGCCCTACAAGGTAAATACATGGCAGCAATCATACAATATAAGGGAACTACAAGTAACTTAGTTCAAAATCTTCACCATTATGAGGAGGAAATAAAACACCTCAAAGTATACAGTGTACTGTAGTGGGTCAGTGACATCAATTATTGTTGTATTTTTAAATATATTTGATCTGACTGCACTAAAGGACTATTTTATTTTTTTGAGACAGGGTCTAACCTTGTCACTCAGGCTGGAGTTCAGTTGCACGATGGCTCACTGCAACCTCCGCCTCCTAGGCTCAAGCAATCTTCCCACCTCAGCCTGCTGAGTAGCTGAGCCTACACACATGTGCCACCACGCCCAGCTAATTTTTGTATTTTTTGTGGAGATGAACCTTCTCCACTTTGGCCAAGCTGGTCTCAAACTCCTGAGCTCAAGCAATCCGCCTACCTCAGCTTCCCAAAGAGCTGGGATTATAGGCATAAGCCAACGTGCCTGAGCCCCAAAGCTTATAGGGGACTTAGAGCTACAGGCAGAGTTCTGAACCTCTTTTCTTCTAGTTCTACAGTGGCTACAGGCAGTGGACATTTCTTTCTTTTTTTTTTGAGACAGAGTTTTGCTCTTGTTCCCCAGGCTGGAGTGCAATGGTGCAATCTCGGGTCACTGGAACCTCTGCCTCCTGGGTTCAAATGATTCTCCTGCTTCAGCCTCCTGAGTAGCTGGGATTATAGGCATGCACCACCACACCTGGCTAATTTTGTATTTTTAGTAGAGATGGTGTTTCTCCATGTTGGTCGGGCTGGTCTTGAACTCCTGACCTCCGGTGGTCCACCTGCCTCAGCCTCCCAAAGTGCTGGTATTACAGGCGTGAGCCACCGCGCCTGGCCTGGCCCTGTACATTTCTGTTGAGGAAAATATCCATGTGACATAAACAGTCAACAGCTTCATAACTATGCCCTTCTCTTAAAAATTCCTCCTAGGCTGGGTGCAGTGGCTTATGCCTATAATCCCAGCACTTCGGGAGGCTGAGGCAGGAGGATCACTTGAGCCCAGGGGTTCAAGACCAGCCTGGGCAACATAGTAAGGCCTTGTCTCTACAAAAAAAATCACATTACACCGGGCGCAGTGGCTCACACTTCTAATGACAGCACTTTGGGAAGCCGAGGTGGACGGATCACGAAGTCAGGAGTTCAAGCCTGGCCAAGATGGTGAAACCCCATCTCTACTAAAAATAAAATAAGCTGGATGTGGTGGCACATGCCTGTGATCCCAGCTGCTACTCGGGAGGCTGAGGCAGATCATTGCTTAAGCCCGAGAGGTGGAGGCTGCAGTGAGCCGAGATCATGCCACTGCACTCCAGCCTGGTTGACAGAGCAAGACATTGTCTCAAAAAAAAAAAAAACAAAAACAAAAAACAAATTAGGCTAGTGTAGTGGCACACACGTGTAGTCCCAGCTACTCAGGAGGCTAAGGTGGGAGGATCAATTGAGCCCTGGAGGTCAAGGCTGCAATGAGCCATGATCACACACTGCACTGCAACCTAAGAAACAAAGTAAGATTCAATAAAGTGGGAGACTTCCACACAAGTGAAAGTGAAACAAATAATTACTTCTACTGTCCTTTCATCATTTCTGACCAGTTTTAGATTATCAACAAATGAGCTCACTGATTCTGCAGACATCCTTACGTTTTGAATATGTTTCACATAATTTTTGTTTTGACAGAGTCTCGCTCTGTTGCCCAGGCTGGAGTACAGTGGCGTGATCTTGGCTCATTGTAACCTCTGCCTCCCGGGTTCAAACAATTTTCCTGCCTCAGCCTCCCGAGTAGCTGGGACTATAGGTGCGTGCCAACACACCTGGCTAATTTTTTGTATTTTTTAGTAGAAACAAGAGTTTCACCGTGTTAGCCAGGATAGTCTCGATCTCCTGACCTCATGAACTGCCTGCCTCAGCCTCCCAAAGTGCTGGGATTACAGGTATGAGTGACAGTGCCTGGCCTGTTTCATATAATTTATTAAATAATCATTTCCTTTTTAAATAAATTTTTGGCTCAGCTAATATCTTAGCTGTACCTACCTTTGCATATTGTGTGAGCTTTCTTATTTGCACTTAAATAATCTTTCTAAATATACCTGTAAAAATGTAAATGTTAGATTGTTCGCTGATAGGCACCAGTATCTTTAACAGAAAAGGTTAATTCAAACAAATGTCAGGCTAAGCTGACAACAGAAATAAAACACATTCATTTTCTTGTGGAGTTGTTAAATTGCTACATATACCTAGTTCTGTATGTCTAGATATTCTGTATTTACTATACTTTTGAGAGCCCTCCAAATGTTACTTATTTTTTTTTTTTTTTGAGATGGAGTTTCACTCTGTCCCGCAGGCTGGGGTGTAGTAGCGTGATCTTAGCTCACTGCAACTTCCGCCTCCCAGGATCAAGTGATTCTCCTGCCTCAGCATCCTGACTAGCTGGGATTACAGGTGCCCACCACCACACCCAAGTAATTTATTTATTTTTAGTAGAGACGGAGTTTTGCCACGTTGGCCAGGGTAATCTTGAACTCCTGACCGCAAGTGATCCAACCTCCTCGGCCTCTGAAAGTGCCTGGGATTACAGGTATAAGCTACCCAACCTAGCCAACATTTCCAGATTTTAGCAGTTGCATAAATCCTACTCCAGGAGGCTTAATTGTCCCTATCACAATTCAAATGACATTCAAAAATGTAAAATGATCAATTTAGAAAAAAAAATTACCCTTATCCACTTCTTTTTCTGAGATGGAGTCACACTCTGTCACCCAGCCTGGAGTGCAGTGGTGTGATTTCAGCTCACTGCAACCTCCACCTCCTGGGTTTAAGTACTTCTCTGGCTTCAGCCTCTCCAGCAGCTGGAACTACAGGCACGTGGCCTGGCTAATTTTTTGTATTTTTTTGTGGAGACAGAGGTTCACCATGTTGCCCAGGCTGGTCTCAAATTCCTGAGCTCAGGCAATCCGCCCGCCTCAGCTTCCCAAAGGGCTGGGATTACAGATGCCCAGCCTCACTTCCTCTTTCATACAGTTATCAGTTCTTACCTATTTCAACCATCAATACGATTGTATTCAAAAAGATGAGGAAGATGATGAAGTTTGTGAAAAGAGGACCTGTTGTCTCTTAAGGAAACACAGAGAGGAGTTATTTCTGATTTATGCAGCTGAAATAATAAGGGCAATAACATAACCAGTGAGAATGAGAAAAAGGGGTTTGGGGAGCAAAAAATAAGTCATTAGGCAGATGACGAACAGCCAGGATAAAAATAAGTGACATGAAGGATACACTCAAGGACCCATCCGGCCCACAAAGAAAGAGGTGGCCTCTGACTACAGCGAATATGAAGCTTGCTCAATAGCCTCTGGGCTTGTGAAATCTGTCCTGTATGTTGAGGCTTTATTGAGAAGCGCACTAGCTGTTGTTGATCTTCCCACATAAGTTTCTTCTGGCGAGAGGGATCTACAACAAAATTAAAAAGGGACAGTGGATAAATATAAATAGAGTAGGTAGGTTTGGGAGCAGGGATATTGGTCAGATAACTAGTCCCCCCTAGTGCCTTAATGCTGCTCCTTCTCTTCTGGCAGCAACTAAGAATTCTGTTAGTTTGGAATGAGTGCAAATGTATTGCTTATGACCAACACTGTCCTTACCCAGAAAAGCAGCAGGCTCACTCTCAAAGTTTTAAGTGTCTTTGGCAGAAACTTTTCAAAATCACCCAAGGCTAGTGGCTATGCTAGGTCTAAAAGTGAAAGACATGGATCCTATCACCTCAGTTTTATTTACAGGCCCTTGACTGATCAAGTTTGGTAAACCAGCAACCAAGCCGACCTCCCCAGAATTTTCCACTCTTAAATGTAGAAAATATGGATAGAAGTCTTAAATTTAAATGAGTGAAGAAATAGGCTGCTGACCAAGTAACTCCCTGACAGTATGCCGCGGCACAGCTTGGCTCAAGCCTTGCAAATGCTCGATGAGAGAGAAAGTATCGATGAGACGTGAACGAATGGCATCAGCTCGGGGCAGCTGCATCTGCCCTTCTTGGTGATAAGTGGCCATGTCTGCTAAGAAAATGGAAGAATCAAATGTCATTTCATTGTTGGAGCTGCACCAAGGATTACAGGTTTCCTGCCCCCCCTTCCCACCCTCTTTTCACTTAAGATTCCTTAATGAACCCACATTTAGGAACTAGGAGGAGCTAGGAAGAACATTGTACTAAGACTCTGGGTTTTTTGAAACAAAAGGGGCCAAGAGTGGTAAAGATATTGCGCAGTCGACCAAGTGGCCAGGCATCTTCACATTGTGATGGCATTTCTAATTAAAAACTCATTTAATAAAATAAAATAAACACACACACATACATAAAAAAGGAGCAGCCACAGGGCAAGTGCCCGGGGCTGGAAACAGAAGAATGTGAGCTTCACCTGGGCCGGAGAGAACCCCGCAATGAGGTGAGGCTGGGGGAGGGCTTAGCCCGCCCCCGAAAGAGAAACCAGTTGAAGAGGAACTGGACAAAATGCAAAAGCCTGACATTTTGAAAACGGGTACAGTCCCAAGTATGTTCACCCCAACACTCCCTCAGGGGCTAGTTTCTTCTCCCCTCAATTTTCGCTTCTGGGCCTCACCTCAGCCCAGGTTCTCTTCGCCCACTCAGTCCTGACTTCACGCTTCCGCCTCCAGCTCTGAGCAAAGCTCCCACCACGCAGGACGAGCTCAGGGTCGGCTCCCAGCCCCACTGCGCCCCATTCTCAGCTCCAGCCTGCCCCGCCCGACCCCCCAGGTTCCGATTCGCCCCGGGCCCAACCCTCGCCCCTGGGCCCAGCCCAGGAACCGGCCTAGCCACGCTCGCCCAGGCCCTCGCCGCCTCCGCCCCGCCCTACGCTCCGGCCACTAGGCGGTTACCAGCTGGTGCCGCCCGCACGACGCAGGCGCAGCGCAGCCAATCGGCGTCTGCCACACTGCGGCCCGAGCCGGGCTAGGGGGTTGGGACCTCCGGCTGCAGGTTCGCCTGGGCCAGCCGCGCCAGCGCAGACAGCCGCTGTGTGGACGCGCGCACGACCTCCACAGTCCCAGCCGAGCCCCGACTCTTCCGGCCGCCCCCACCTCACCTTGCCGCCATGCGCCTCCGCCGCCTAGCGCTGTTCCCGGGTGTGGCGCTGCTTCTCGCCGCGACCCGGCTAGCCGCTGCCTCCGACGTGCTGGAACTCACGGACGACAACTTCGAGAGTCGCGTCTCTGACACGGGGTCTGCGGGCCTCATGCTTGTCGAGTTCTTCGCCCCCTGGTGAGGCCACTCTGCCGGGTCGGGGGAAGAAGGGCTGAGCTGGGCCGGGGGCGAGGGCGCGGGGAACGGTTGGGCCTACGCAGCGCCAGCGCTCTTCCCCATTTCTGTGGGTCCAGGCTGCGGCCGGCACATTGCTCATTCCCGGGGAGCTGGAGGCGCCTCCCGAGACCGGGGGAGTCGGTGCTGATAGGCGGGAGAAAAACTCGGAGGCTGCGCTCACGCAGGGCTACATCCTTATCTCGGTGTTCTTGCCGCACTTCCTATTTGCAGAGGGTTTAGCCACCCCTTCCCCCACTTCAATATGTAGCTATATCGTTTCTGCGTGAGTCAGTATTAATATTCTCCAGTCTACAGACTAGACGTTACAAAGCCTTGCAGTGGAAGCGGCCGTTTCACCAAACGCCTAAGTCCTGGATCCCTAGGGTATTTTCTTCTTAACCCACGCCGCACAGCCGTTGGTTTCTAGCCAAGGTCACTGAGTGGCTGCAGAATGGCCATAAGTGTTTTCTTGAGGCAGGTAATTTGTCCGTCACATGGTGTTCAATTTCTCCCTTCAGCTGATCACTTGCGTCTTAGTACCGCCAGAGACCTCTGTCAAAAAGAAAAGAGGAGGCGAACAAGAATAATTCCATCAGAATCTGTCCAAGTTGTCCATTTTAATTAGGATTTCTTTAAAATGGCAAAAAAGACTCCAATGAGAAAGTAACCAATGTTAATTAAATACGCTACTTTAGGGTGACTTAAGTGAACAAGGGTGTAAAGTCCTTAGCTAGAACTAACTCGAAATAAAAAAAAATGTTGGGGAGAAGGAAGGGCAAATAGGTTTCTGGCCCAGTCAACTTGAGTGTTTTTTTTTTTTTTTTTTTTTTT